CACCATTCCTTCTAAAACTATCCCAAACAATACAAAAAGGGGGAATCTCATTTTATGAGGCCAACATCATCCTGATACCAAAACCTGGCAGAGACACAACTAAAAAAGAAAATTTCAGGCCGATATCCATGATGAACATTGATGGGAAAATCCTCAATAAAATACTGGCAAACTGAATCCAACAGCACGTCAAGAAGCTTATCCACCACGATCAAGTCAGCTTCATCCCTGAAATGCAAGGCTGGTTCAACATACACAAATCTGTAATCCATCACATAAACAGAACAGAGACAAAAACCACATGATTATTTCAATAGATGCAGAGAACGGCTTTGACAAAATTAAACAGCGCTTTATGCTAAAAACTCTCAATAAACGAGATATCAATGGAACATATCTCAAAATAAGAGCTATTTATGACAAAGCCACAGACAATAATATACTGTATGGGCAAAAACTGGAAGCATTCCCTTTGAAAACTGGCATAAGACAAAGATGTCCTCTCTCACCACTCTTACTCAACATAGTATTGGAAGTTCTGGTCAGGGCAATCAGGTAAGAAAAAGAAATAAAGTGTATTCAACTAGGAAAAGAGGAAGTCAAATTGTTTCTATTTGCCGGCAACATGATTATATATTTAGAAGACCCCATCATCTCAGCCCAAAATCTCCTTAAGCTGATAAGCAAATTCAGCAAAGTCTAAGAATACACAATCAATGTGCAAAAGTAACAAGCATTCCTATACACCAATAACAGACAGAGAGCCAAATCATGAGTCAACCCCCATTCACAATTGCTATAAAAAGAGTAAAATACCTAGGAATACATCTAACAAGGGATGAAAGGACCTCTTGAAGGAGAACTACAAATCATTGCTCAAGGAAATAAGAGAGGACACAAACAGATGGAAAAACATTCCATGCTCATGGTTAGGAAGAATCAATATTGTGAAAATGGCCATACTGCCCAAAATAATTTATACATTCAATGCTACCCCATCAAGCTACCATTGACTTTCTTTACAAAATTGGAAAAAACTACCTTAAACTTCATATGGAACCAAAAGATAGCCCACATAGCCAAGACAATCCTAAGCAAAAAAAACAAAGAACAATAACAAAAACAAAAACAAAGCTAGAGGCGTCATGCTATCTGACTTCAAACTATACTACAAGGCTACAGTAATCAAAACAGCATGGTACTGATACCTAAACAGAGATATAGACTAATGGAATAGAAGAGAGGCCTCAGAAATAACGCCACACATCTGCAACCATCTGATCTTTGACAAACCTGACAAAAACAAGCAATGAGGAAAGGATTCCCTATTTAATAAATGGTGTTGGGAAATCTGGCTAGCCATGTGCAGAAAGCTGAAACTGCATCCCTTCCTTACACCTTATACACAAATTAACTCCAGATGGATTAAAGATTTAAACATAAGACCTAACACCATAAAAACTTTAGAAGAAAACCTAGGCAATACCGTTCAGGACACAGGCATAGGCAAGAACTTCATGACTAAAACACCAAGAGCAATGGCAACAAAAGCCAAAATAGACAAATGGGATCTAATTAAACTTAACAGCTTTTGCACTGCAAAAGAAACAATCATTAAAGTGAACTGGCAACTAACAGAATAGGAAAAAATTTTTGCAATCTACCCATCTGACAAAGGGCTAATATCCAGAATCTAGAAAGAAATTAAACTTACACGAAAAAACAACCCCATCAGAAAGTGGGCAAAGGATATGAACAGATGCTTCTCAAAAGATAACATTTATGCAGCCAACAAAGATGAAAAAAAAGCTCATCCTCACTGGTCATTAGAGAAATGCAAATCAAAATCACATTGAGATACCATCTCATGCCAGTTAGAATGGTGATCATTAAAAAATCAGGACACAACAGATGCTGGAGAGGATGTGGAGAAATAGGAACACATTTACACTTTTGGCAGGAGTGTAAATTAGTTCAGCCACTGTGGAAGACAGTGTGGCAATTCCTCAAGGATATAGAACTAGAAATACCATTTGATCCAGCTATCCCATTACTGGGTATATATCCAAAGGTTTATAAATCATTCTATTATAAAGACACATGCACATGTATGTTTATTACAGCACTGTTTACAATAGCAAAGACTTGGAACCAACCCAAATGCCCATCAATGATAGACTGGATAAAGAAAATGTGGCACATATGCACCATGGAATACTATGCAGTCATAAAAATGGATGAGTTCAAGTCCTTTGCAGGGACATGGATGAAAGTGGAAACCATCATTCTCAGAAAACAAGAACAGAAAACCAAATACTATATGTTCTCACTCATAAGCAGGTGTTGAACAATAAGAACACAGGGACACAGGGAGGGGAACATCACACACCAGGGCTTGTTGGGAGGAGGGGAGGGTAACAGAGGGATAGAAGGCGGTGGAGGGATTGGGGAGGGATAACATTACGAGAAATACCTAATGTAGATGACAGGGTGATGGATGCAGCAAACCACCACAGCACGTGTATACTGATGTAACAAACCTGCACGTTCTGCATATGTACCCCAGAACTTAGCATAATTTTAAAAAATAAATAAATAAATCAGATGCAGTCTTGTTATACTGCGCAGGTGGTTCTCAAACTTCTGGGCTCAGGCAACCTTAACCTCCGAAGTAGCTGGGACTATAGGTGTATATCACCACACCCAGCTACTTTTTTCTACAGTTTTGATTATTTTAGTCTCACTACATAACCAATAATATAAGTAGAGGAACAATCTCTCCTACAAAGTATATAATACCCAAATAATAAGTGTCCAAGAAAAACAGCTATATGCTATTTGTTGTACAGTTTTTTAACTTAAAGGTGCCAGGGAGATTCCATGATTACCACAAGTAATCTGATCCACTGAAGACTTATACTGGTAAAAATATAGATGTCACACTAGTATGATTTAAAATTCAAAGTATTAATATTTATCGAATTAAACTTTAACCAAATTTCATATTTTCTCTATTGGGGAAAGCATTTCCTAATGTGATTTTTCTATTGCTATGTATCTTCCAGTTCATTTTTGTTCAGCCCCCTCCCTATTACAGTACTTATCAATCTTTTGTTAGTTACCAATATTAAATAAAATTTTTAATCAACTAGTCATATGTCTATGGTTTTCTCTGACCAACTTTCCATAGCCATCATAAAACAATAATAGGTAAAGCACTGCTAAATTTTAAGAAAGTAAATACTACGCAAAAGCTGACTGAGTGAGAAAATTTTACAAGAGACCACTTTACCTTGGTGGTAACAGTCAAGTCTTCATCATCTGGTTTAGGGCATGAATCCACACACAGTTTGTGGAAAACGCTTTAGAGCAAAAATATATAATAAAAATGAACAAGTTGATTTTGTTTAATTTTTTAACTGCCAGTTTATATTCAGCTTCCCCCTCCAAAAAACAAAAACACAATCTGGGAAATGGTCAGCCATCTGTATATTAAATAACATTTCTTGATACAATTAAAATATGGCTTCTGTTCTAAAAATAGATTTTGGTTACCTATTTCTGCCTCCAGCTGTCTAAATCTATAAAATATACACTGGAAACTGACCTTGAACTCTATAACAAATAGTGACAATCAATATATTGGCAGAGCTTGACAATAATTTACCATCACAGATTATCTGTCCTGAAGCAGAATATGAAATTCAATTAATGGATGACATAACTTTTGTCACCTAAACTAGAGGGAACTTTATGACCTAAAACAAGGTAGAAAGATTCACTGTATCTTGTCCATTATCTATCTGTGGTTAAAAGACTAATCTGTGTCACTTCAAAATAGCAGTTTTGATTCCTCAGCATGAAAACCACTTAAGAAGGTCCCAATGCTTTCCTTTGTCCTAAAAGAGTATGGAGAATCCCCTGCTGTATTTGAAATGTGTGAGAGCTAAATGTACAAAAGTCTAATAATGAAGGTGAACTTTCTTATTGAGGATACTCTTCCCAGAAAGATTAACACATTAACAATTATAAAAATCCAATTATTTTCACTCTATAGGTCCTACCTTATTCAGGTCCACATAAACTAGAAAGCCCTTAAAAACCTTCATAGGCACTCAGATATCCAACAAGAGAGACTGCTGGAAAAACACAGTCCTGGCAGTTGTACCTCTAATTCCCTAAGTACTATCTAAATATCTTTCTTCCCACTGGTTTCCACTTCCAGATTCCACTTATGCCGGGCTCCATGGCAGTTTCCAATCTTCAGTGAAAGCACAGATTCCTGAAAGGATGGCCTCAAATGACCAGGAGTGGGAGTGCTCTATAACCCTCCTCCTGAATAACAACCTAACTGGAGTCTCTACTAATTACCAGCACAGACATACCTCCAACTACCCAGCTGAATTTCATGACTGATTTGACAGCCAATGATGCCCCTGGCCTACAGGGATATGGGAGGGACATCAGTGAATTGGGAAAAGAGGGAGGAATGAGGAGATACCTGCCCTGGGCCACAGATCTATGTAGTTCAGCAATCTCCAGCCCATCAGTACTCAAGGGGCTCTAAGCCACCCCTCTCTAAGTCAGGATGGAGTTAGATGATACCACATTTCTGTCTGCTGCAGAGACTCCTCCCAGTGTCTCCAAGTGTTTTAGCATCTTACAGCAAAAATCTTCAAGTTTGTCAGTTCTTGATTTAAAAGGAACACAACAATCTGTTTAGAGCTTCCTTGAACCCTCTATTTTAATGTGCCTTTGTAGATAATTCCCAATATCTTGTGTCCTTCATCTTTATAATTTATCAGACTTGTCGATAAAGACTTATCGATTCTTAGCCATTTCCATTGGGTTCATCAGCTAATTCCATTCTCATTCTATCCACTGGGTGCACCATACTCCCCCTTTGTATTATTGAAACACATCCCAGGCTAGGCATGGTGGCTCACACCTGTAATCCCAGCACTTTGGGAGGCCGAGGCAGGCAGATCACCTTAGGTCAGGAATTTGAGACCAGCCTGACCAACATGGAGAAATTCCATCTTAACTAAAAATACAAAATTATCTGGGCATGGTGGTGCATGCTTGTAATCCCAGATACTCAGGAGGCTGAGGCAGGAGAATCGCTTGAACCTGGGAGGCGACGGTTGCGGTACGACGAGACTGTGCTATTGCACTCCAGTCTGGGCAACAAGAGCAAAACTCTGTCTCAAAGAAAAAACCAAACAAACAAAAAACATGCCAATAGAATATAAAAAGAAAGAAGAGTATTGGCCTTTAAAATCAATTCAAATCTCATTTCTACTATGTCTTATGTCTGAAAAAAGCATCCTAATCTCTTTGAGTCTCAAGTTCTCTAACTAGAAAATCATTTGACCAGAACATTCAACACAGATTGAAGTACTAGGAGATATTTTAATTAGTCCTAAGATCCCTTAAATTTCTGTAATTCTATGTGCTTTTGGTTCTGTCTATAGGAATAATGGGAATACATAGCCAGCAGAATTTGAAAACATAAGAAAAGAAACACCAAGGAAGAAAAGTCATGGAAAAAGAAAAATAAAAAATAAAAAAACATTATGGAAGTAGGCAGAAATACCAGCCTACAGGGAAAACAAAACTGGGAAGTTAAATAATTTCTCTCCAAGACTTGACAAATCTTGGTTTTGTAAAACTTCCAGTCCTATGGCCAAACCTTTACTCTGCCCTAAAGGCTTTGATGGTTAATTAAAAAAAAAAAAAAAAAAAAAAGATGCTGGTTATCACAGAAATTGTCGAATTTATTAGGACAAACTCAAGGACTAACCTCATTTCTAACAGTAACCTAAAATGAGAGTTTAACTTATTTAAACTCATTAATTTAGACATTAATTAAAATAATTAATCTGACTAATCTTATTTAGACCTATACCTTGACCAAAGTGCTGCACAGATAGCTCTATCAATCTGTACTAAGGAGCAAGAGAAAAGATTTGAAAACCAGATAGGCTGACAGTCAAACTGTGGGTCAGCTACTTTGTGAACTATGGGATCATGGTCCAATTAATCAACCTCTCTAAACCACAGTTGCCCATTTAAAAAACAGTAGGTTATAAGAAAACAGACGTTGTGATGGCTTTATGAGATAAATGCATGGCACATAATAGGGTATTTACCCCAGAATATAACACTCAACAGATATTAGCTTCTTCCATCTATATTTTCTTAGTTAACATAATTTTTTAAATCTGTAAAATTCTACCTGACTGCAGATTCATCAGAACTCCCAGAATCTATTAACAGAAAAGGTAAAATGCATTTTAAATCAATAATGTATGGAATATTAAAACCATTAGAAAGTACAGTTATGGGTACCTGTAATTTCAACTATTTAGGAGGCTGAGGAAGGAGGATCATTTGAGAAACGCAGAATTTTGAGACCAGTTTAGGAAACATAGCAAGACTCTACCTTCATTTAAAAAAAAAGCATGCAAGTTATGTACATGATTTAGATCATTTTCTTTAAAGTATAGGACTGATGCTTTGTTACATGATTTAGATCATTTTCTTTAAAGTATAGGACTGATGCTTTGTTACAAAGCATTCCTTTGGGAGCATACCTGGGACGTTATTAAAATTAATATAAATTATACCTATTGGTATGTAATTAATGCAGTAAGAACTCTTACTTCCCTTACTTTGTATTTATTAAATGCAAAGAATAAATTTATCACAATTTGATATCTACAAGTGAACTACAGTATGTAAGTCATCCCAGCCAAACCCTATGAAATTGGCTAAAAATGGTATTGTTAGCAGAACAGTTGGAATGAGTGACCAGTGTCAAACAGCATGATTTCTGGACCAAAATGTAAGGGGGGTGGGTGCAGTTAAAACAGAGTAAACAGTAGTACCCCTTATCCACTATATGTGTGGAAAAGACACACTTGCCGTGTTTCTCTCTGCTCTCACACCACAGAAACAATCATCAACAAAGAAGGCATCTGTGACCAAACCTGTGGAGAGGTTTTCCCCACCAAAAAGCAAGCAATCACTTCTGCAGAGGACACAAACTTGGCGTCATCTAATTCAGTTCTCACACTCTGTCTGCAGATGGCATCAGATTCCACAGGTAAAGGGCTCAGTCCCATGAGACTGCTGCCCTACATCAGCCTTAAGTCTGAAACTCCAGAACTTCTGACCAATCGGCTTCAAATTGGGGTTCCCAGGACTCCCTCTTTGGGTTAAATTGAATTGCTGGAATGGCTCAAAGTATTCAGGGAAACACACTTACCAGTATACTGTGAATGACATTACAAAAGGTAATGTCATTGAAGATGAAGAGATGCGATTAAGGTGGTGCGAAGCTTCCCGACGCGGCGAAGGCGAGAAGCAGAGAAACTGACCTGCAGATGGACGTGCGGGGTGCACTGGTGTTGGATGAANTTGCTGGAATGGCTCAAAGTATTCAGGGAAACACACTTACCAGTATACTGTGAATGACATTACAAAAGGTAATGTCATTGAAGATGAAGAGATGCATAGTGCAAAGTATGGGGCTAGTGGCACACAGATGCCGTGCCCTCTCAGGACACACCACCCTCCAGGAACCTCCATGTATTCAGTGATCTGGAAGCTCTCCAAGCCCAGTCCCTTTGGGTCGTTGTGAAAGCTTCAATACATAGGCATCACTAATTAATCGCTGGCTGTTGGTGACTGACAACCTTCAGCTCTTCTCTCCTCCCCAGAGTTTGCAGAGTGAGACCAAAGATCTCAACCCTCTAATCAGTCATGTCTTCAGGATGGTGACCAGTTCCCATCCTGAATCTACCTAGGAGATTCCAGGCATCAATTATTAGCATACCAAAAGACATCACTTTGGAAATTCTAAGGATTTTAAGAATTGTTCACCAAGAAATTAGTCAAAGTCCAAACACAGATTTTACATCTGCAGTTGTAAATTATGTGGTTACAGCTACTAACAGTTAACTGTATTCCAAACACATTACATTGAAAACTCCAGAAATAAACAAGTCATAAGTGTTAGCATGCCAGTCTGAGATGCACAATAAAATCTTGAGCTCTTGCCCTCTATCCATCTCAGGATATGAATTATTCCTTTGTCCAGTGCATTCACACTGCATGTGCTGTCCAGCCTTTAGTCATTAACATGGTCTCCTGTATCCAGCCATCAACATCATTAAGGCCTGAAGGTCCAGGAACACTCAAAGCTGATCATCTTTTTTTCTGACTTAGAGTCAGGGGGTGAACAGTGGCCTAACACTACATGACAATGCCTACATCATTCACCTCACTTCATCTCATTACATAGGCATTGTATCACTTCACATCACCACAGGAAAAAGGGTGAGAACCATACCATATATTTTAAGAGACCACATTCAAATAACTTTTATTACAGCATGTTACTATAATTTTCCATTTTATTTTTAGTTGTTAATTTCTTACTGTGCCTAATTTATAAATTAAACTTTATCATAGATATGTAAGTACAGAAAAAAAAAAAAACAGTGAGTGATTCAGTATTATTTGTGCTTTCAGGAATTTACTGGAGGCCTTTGAATGTATCTCCCACAGTTAAGGGGGATCTACTGCACTTACTTCATTGTAACATAACACATTCTCTCTAGCTCTTCAGTTAAAACTGTTCAGTTTACAATAAAACACCCTATCATCACAAATCAGCAAAACATAGGAATCAGACCAGAAACAGGGATGCTTGCAAAAACTTTCCAGCTGCCAGTGGAGAAGAGCTCAGGAGATATTAATGTGTTACTCTGGCCAATACTCTTGGAGAAGTTGCTGGGTGTTTTACTTAGCTGTAGCTATGTGCTCTGCCCTACATATAACAAGGCCTAAATTCGCCTGCCATTTTACCTCCCACAGAAAGAACCACTGGAAAGATTACTGCTTTAAGAGCTTGTCCACTCTGAACCACATCACAGAACAAGACTCTATTTCAACAACAACAAAGCAACAAACCTAATTGTTCCCATGTAAAAATAAGTCTAGGTCCACACTAGGTCTGAGGAGTTTTCAATGCCATGAGACAGGACAGAAATATATTAAAAAATTATATTCCTGCTTTCTATAGAAATAAAACTGTTGATTTTAAGCTTTTGTTAAGACAAGTCAAGAAAAAGAGCAAAAAATGCAAAAGCAAAACTTGAAAGGCCATTTCATCATCAAGGGCTCATTCACAAACTATATATATTGTTCAAAACATTGGTTCTGAATTTTGACATAAGTTGCACTTTTATTCGAGGATGTCCAAGAGGTCAAATAAGACAATGTCATTTGTTATTTTCAGTTGTTTTTTTTAAGAGAACAGTAAACTTCTTTAGAGAAATGAATTGTCGTAACTTCATAAGCTAAAGGCTCATGAGTCATAGTTCTAAGGTCATTTGTAAAATATAGTGGTGCATGCTTGCATTCTGAACTTCTCAGACTTAAACTCTCATATAGTAAATATTCACAGATACAAACTGATTAAACAAAAGCCCCTTTTAATCTGACATTATTTTTCCTTTTCGTTTTTTTGTTTGAGACAGAGTCTTGCTCTGCTGCCAGACTGGAGTGCAGTGCCACAATTTTGGCTCACTGCAACCTCCACTTCCCAGCTTCAAGCAATTTCTGTGTCTCAGCTGCCCGAATAGCTGGGACTATAGGCACATGCTACCATGCCCAGCTAATTTTTTATATTTTAATAGAGATGGGGTTTCACCATGTTGGCCAGGATGGTCTCGATCTCCTGACCTCATGATCCACCCACTACAGCATCCCAAAGTGCTCGGATTACAGGAGTGAGCCACCATGCCCAGCCTATTTTTCTTTTTTTTTTTTCTTTCTTTATTTATCAGCAACAGGAGAGTCTAATTAAATGTGGTAGAGTGGTATAAGGGAATACAACAAAAAGTGTAAACTGAATTAAACCAGAGAGAATCATATCAATGTCAATACATCTGGAAAATAGAATGCAAAATACACAAAAGAAAGTGGCAGAAAGATATGTAAAGTGTAGAACCACTCATCTTCCATTTTAGGACAAAATTAAAATTCTGCATATTATTTCTGAGCATCACAATATAGTTAAGGATTTCAAAAGGGTATTGAAATGGAAAACAGCCAATGATGTTGGCAGCCTCAATGACGTTCATGATGTTGGTCACCTCTATGCAATTATTTTTTTAAAAAACTTTTATACCAAAAAGTCTCAAAACCATCATTTTAAAAGACTGTCTTCCAGTTACAAATGAATGATTACTTTCCTAGTTTTCAATATAATCAAAGACGCCACAAACACACCCGTACACACACCCATACACACACGTGCATACACAGTCTTCTCATTAGAACATCTCATTGGCTTCAGATCATTGGTGTAATAACATTGACAGGAAGTCTTTAAAGTTAATACAGAAACTGACATCTAGGTAAAGCATTCCTTTAGGTAAATATCAGAACTCCAACTAGCACATAAGACACTGGAAATATCTCAGAGTCTCAAAATTCACTGCTTTGAATCCCTGACAAGTACAAACATTCCATATTGGAAATGTTTTGCTATTCAAAACATTAAAATAGAAACATCTGAGTTAAAACTCATATTTTTAAAATCTTGTTTTCTTATGCTTCTAAATTTATTTTTATTGAAATATGGATACCAACAATAATATTTATGTCAATGCCTTCCATTCAATTTAGAATAAAAAGAATTAGGGGTAAGAAGAATGTGAGTACTTCCAATCATTTAAGGTACTTATTTCCAGCATTCCATTTGTTTTGAAAATGTACCTGCTCTTGATGCCTGTACATTATTTCTTTGTACTGCTTCTCTCACAACAGGATCTTCCACTTCAGTGGTAGGCTGAATGGGTTTTAAAAGAAAATAACTAATAAATCATATACATTTTATACAATATAAAGTTAGTAAATAAAAATAAATATATATAATTACCTTCAAGGAAAGATGTTATTCAGGAGACCCTACAAAGCAAAGGGGACATGTCATCAATTATATGTAGGTGTGACAGGGCCAACCAAACATTCATGTAGTGTTAGTATCAAGCTGAGTCCTCATGCCTGGCTCTGAAAACAATTACTTAAGGTTTTGAGGGTTCTTTTTGGCATCTCCTTTTCATTGCCTAGGATAACAACATGATGGAAGTATATGAGTAAAATAGGAATATAGGATCTCTAAATCACAAAGATTATATTTCAAAAGTGAGATTGTTTCAAATGCCTATAACTAAAATAGAAAAGTATGGATATTAATGTGAACACGTTGGGCTGATAAGGATAAAAGGGACTATTAAACAGTGGAGCAAAACAAACCCTGAGAGAATCAATGTCAAAGCTGATAGTGAATACTACAGAGTATTTAAACTCGAAACAACAGAGGCATTGGTGCCAGAACACCACAAATATTTATCATGTGCTTCCCCTTGTCCTGTCACTTAGGAAATACACAGCTGGGATGCTAGTTCAGGTGAATGTGTGATTCACCTCTCATCAAAGAAAGTGTTTTAAATTGATCAGCTATGATACACACTTATGAAATAACGGTTTCTCAAAATTCTCATTTTCCCATGCCCACGTGGCTACTGAAGCACTTACATTTCTCATATCCTCTCATTTGACCTTTTCTTAAGAGTTCCTTGATCCACTCATGCAAGACTTAAAACACATCAAATAAACCATATAGAATAAGCTTATAATATCAAAATACTTATCAAAAAAGAAAACATTGAATTGCCACAGTCTTGATAGAAAAGAATAAACTTTTATATTTCAAAATCAGTACATTATTCTTAGAAAATGACAATTTTGGTAGTCACAGAATAAATTTTATAATATGACTGCTTCTAAAATTAGCTAAGTTTGGCATGTCATCTTACTCTGTAAATGACTTTTAAGGTCATTTACAGAGTAAGATGACATATCAAAGAACTGGCTGAATCCCCCAAAAAATCAGCCAAAGTGCAACTTAATCACATCTTATTCACCATGTCAATGAAACTTCTTGCTCTGAGGCCTGACAGTTATGAAGAGAAATTAGCTGTTGTTTACCCCAATTCTAGCACTCTCTCCTGCCTCCAGTACGCTCCACAGCAATAACTGCTTTTGCTAAACTGGGCATATGCCCAAGGAACTGAAAGTGAGGTGTCTCAAGCTTCCTTGGTTTTAACCCCAAAGTCCCCCAACAAACTTTTTTTTCTCCCCCCCTCCTTCCCCTTTCACAATCCTTCTTCCTTTGCAAAAGTAATCTTTAGATCCATCACCCTGATGCTTCTCTTCCTAACTGCTTTTTATGAATAATTGTGACCACTTTTTTCATCTGTATTCAGCAGTAGTATACACCAATAATTTCTTTTTTCATCTCATTCTGCTTCCTCTGTGGCTAGAATCCTACTTCAGAAATAAAAGGAGATTAATGCCTTCCTGCCTTCCCTTGATTCTGTTATTTTTAATTGTTGTCCAATGGTTCTTTTTCCAGATTCCTCTAAAGGAAGGCTATTTCCTTGTTATTCAGAGCTGTGTCCAAGGAACAGCACCAACACCACCTGAGTACTCCTGGGAAAGACAGAATTCCACATGTGCTGAATGAGTATGTCCATTTTCCAGAAGCTCCTCAATGAATTCATGAAAATTTGGATGCCCTGTTCTACACTAATGTGCTTCCACATTTGTTTACCTTAATTGCCCATCTGGAACTTAGCCTCAGTTTCTTCCCTATTAAGTCCCTGAATTTAATTCTGCATTATAAGCCATAATGTTTCTAATAAACTTTTAATCAGGCTATACCTTTTCTAATTTCCTCTCCATAAATCACATGACACTATTCAATTTTGTTAATTTGGTCTATATGATACTATCCGATGAAGTTATAACATTTTCTATAAAACTAAATTATGGCCATACATAGCCGATCATTTATGGTGACATTCATCTATGGTAGATAAAACACAGGTCTGTGTGATGAGGCACTTCAATCCTTAATGCCTCTCCAATAGTGAGAATGACAGCAAGAGCAGGAAGATGTTACTCTAATTCTCTGACACATTTTGGTGCTGGAAGCTGAGTTACCTTCTTTCCTATTTCTATCACCCTGCTCCTCCTTCTTCTACAAACCAATTTGACTTTGCTACCCTCCTTTACATACACCTGCATACGGTTTCTTCATTTATTCTACGTACACTCTGCCCTCCTCATTCTTTCTTTTATTCATTTCCTCTTCCCTTTTTCCTGACTCGCCTCAGATCTTAGAGTATCTTAAAATGGGAACTAATAATTCAGCTCCTTTGGGGGTACTTTCAATAGACTCAACTGCTGACCCCTGATTAGATATAAAACTTATCACCATTTTACTTCTCCTTTACTTATTATACATTTAATAGAACATTTTCTTTAGCTATTTGAATATATTAGTGCTCATATTTTTTAAAAAAAGCATTTGATCAAATGACTTTTTAAATAAAATAGTATTCTTACCTTCTCCTTTTACATTGACTATACTTTTTTTTTTCATTGGAAGGTCTAGGTAAAGGCTCTGATACTTTCTTGGGGACACACTGTTGAGGTAATATCAAACATGAGTTTCCATTTAAAAAATTATAATGAGTTGCATAAAGACTTTATCAATATTTTTTTCTTTTTTTGAAACAGGGTCTCACTCTGTCACCAAGGGCTGGAATGTAGTGGAGGATTATGGCTCACTGCAATCTCAACCTCCCGACCTCAAGCAACCTTCCCACCTTAACTTCTTGAGTAGCTGGAACTACAGGTGCATACCATCATGCTAGGCTACTTCTTTGTTGTTATTTTTGTAGAGACAAGGTCTCACTATATTACCCAGGCTGGTCTCAAACTCCTGGTTTTGTGTGTTTGTTTTTGTTTTGTTTTGTTTTGTTTTGTTTGAGACAGAGTCTCACTCTGTCACCAGGCATCAGGCTGGAATGCAGTGGCATGATCTCAACTCACTGCAATCTCCACCTTAGCAAAGTCTCTACCAAAAATACAAAATTAGCCCAGATTGGTAGTGCGCACCTGTAGTCCCAGGATGAGACAAGAGAATTGCTTAAACCCAGGAGGCAGAGGTTGCAATAAGTGGAGATTGCACCTCTGCACTCCAGCCTGGGTGAAAGAGCAAGACTCCATCTCAAGAACTTTTATACATATATATATATATATATATACACACACACACACACACACACACACATATACACATATATATACACACACACACACATATACACATATATATATACATATATATACACACACACACACACATTTTATATATATATATTTTTTTACTTGGTATAATACAATACTAAAAAATTTTAAATATCCTCATATAAATATTTCAGTGTTAAGATATTTATCATAGAAAACTTGGAAATATTTCATGTTGAGCATCAATAGAACACCATAGAAAATGCTTCATTTAGGTAAATAAATACTTGAAGAAACCTACATATTTTTTGATAAAATCTTTACTGATAGAAAAAAAAGTTTAACTAGAATGATAATGCAGTAATAAAATTTTTGTTATATTTAAATAAAAGCAAGCAAATATGTGATCAACTGTGCAACTATTTTGTATATTTTTTTTTATTATACTATAAGTTCTGGGGTATATGTGCAGAACATGCAGGTTTGTTACATAGGTATACATGTGCCATGGTGATTGGCTGCATCCATCAGGCCAGGGGCAGTGGATCACACCTTTAATCTTAAGACTTTGGGAGGCCAAGGTGGGTGGATTGCTTGAGCCCAGGAGTTTGAAACCAGCCTGGGAAAAATGGTCAAACCCAACTGTGCAAAAGACACATAAATTAGCTGGGCATGGTGGTGCATGCCTGTAATCCCAGATACTCAGAACACTGAGATGGAAGGATCACATTACCACGGAAGGTCAAGGCTGCAGTGAGCTGAAACTGCACTACTGCACTTTAGCACAGGCAATAAAATGAGACCCTGTCAAGAATCAAAAGAAAAGAAGAAAAGGAAAGGAAAGGCGGAGAAAGGAAGGAAGGAAGGAAGGAAGGAAGGAAGGAAGGAAGGAAGGAAGGAAGGAAGGAAGGAGAGAGAGAAAAAAAGAAAGAAAGAGAAAGAAGGAAAGAAAGAAGAAAAGAAAAGAGAGAGAAACAATGAACTTCAAAAATGTAGCAAGCTTTCTTTAAAAGAAAAAAAAAAGAACATTTATTTAGGAGGCATATAAAATGTGCCAGGATTCTATTTCATATTTGTTGCACATACTATAATCATAAAAAAAATTATGATGATGGCTTTCTGCCCATTCCATGGTGTTAAGAGCAAAATGATGAATAGATGTGATCTTGTTCTCTCCATTCAGAATTTCCTCCTCTTAGACTTTCACATGGCTGGCTCTTTCCCATCCTTAAGTTGGCAGCTTAAATATCATACTCAGAGAGGTCTTCTCTGACCACACATTTCCATTCCTCTCCCATTCCCATCCTAACTACAAACTTCCTTGATAGCTTCTAACATTTTCTATTTTCTTTATAGAAAGAATTTATAGTGAGAAGTATTTGCTCTTTCTTTTTCTGTTCCTACTACTATAGCATAAGATCTCATCTTGTATATTCAATGTCTCACTGACCGGCACAGTTTGTGATCTATAACCAAAATAAATTCTAGGTCAAAACACTTAAAATTTCACCAGAAAGTCTCATGTGCCAAACTGCTATGTTCCTACAGGACATCTTCAGTCCTAGTAGCAAATGTTTTCACATTTCCCACTACTTTTGTTCATTACATATACCTGAGAGGTAGCATTAGTACCATTTTTATGAACGAGGTCAATGACAATCAAATAAAGAATTTTTCCCAAGGTCCCACACCTAGTAAGTGGCAGAACCAGGATGCTAACATGTCGTTTGACTTCTATTTGGTGCTAGTAAAACTATGCACTAGCTGCTTCTAGTAAAAAGTCAGGCCCCTCCCATTTCTCTCCACAGTCATAATATTAGAATACACCATTATTAATTTAAACTTCTGCTGCTATAAGTGTGGCTGCCACAAAAGTACTCAGTGTGTTCCCTTTTTGAAAATGACTTCACTTACTACAACACTAAACTAAATTGTTGTTATTACAGTCCCACATAGTTACTAGTCCCCATGTTTTTTTCTTAACTTAAAATGTTCATTGTAGATCTATATTGGACAATCAAAATATATAAACATACTAAAATCCCAGCATTATCTTTTCAAGTTCAAATTTCAATAAAAACTACAATTCAAACTGTTTCTCTCTAACTCTCCTTATGATTTTGCACATCCAGATACACCACAGAATGATACATTTGGCCACGGCTTAACCTGAAATAATCATTTAGATTTTAGATAAACTTATTTTCAGAACACAAAGTGATTTTTTGCACATTCTAAACTTTATTTTTCTGGCACTATACTACACTTGCTTCTTAAATGAATCATGCAAATTAGCAGAATTATACTATGAAGCAGTAATTTACTTAGCACATAAATACTTTATTAATTATGAGCTAAGAAACATGAGAAAATAATTCATTACGGGCATAGGCAGGAGGCAATTATTTGCATAAATCACTTGTGGGGGAAAATGAGAATTTAGTTTATAGTAGTACGTTATTTAAGTGGGTTGGCCTTGCAAACAGTATTAGTTGCTTTTATTCTGTTTGTGAAAAAGATGAAGAGAAATGTATAAATTCAGCTCTTCCAAAGAAAAGGAAAGAAACAAGAATAAATCTTGTGGGCAATAATTGCTGAATGAAAGCCACACATAGATAACTAAAGAGAAAGCTGTAACTAAATATGCTGACTGTGAAGACACAGATGGAGTGAAAGTTCAGTCACTAAAGAAATGAGATCTGTGAGAAAAAAATTAGGTGGGGATAAATCATTTTAACATGTGAGGATGCCGGGCGCGGTGGCTCACGCCTGTAATCCCAGCACTTTGGGAGGCCGAGGCGGGTGGATCACGAGGTCAAGAGATCGAGACCATCCTGGTCAACATGGTGAAACCCCGTCTCTAC